ATATTCTTTATCCATTAAAGCAAGGTTTCTCAATGGATCCTGAAGCTTGACCATATGGCTACTCTAGCCAGCTTGTCCTGGACAGCCCTGTCTCTGCCTCCTGAGGACTTGGTTCACAGGGCAGGCCACCCACAGCATGTATGTGGATGCTGAGAACCCAAGTCCTGGTCCTCAAGCTTGAGTGGCGTGTGTTTTATCCAGGAAGCCATCTCCCCAGCCTCTACTTTCGGCACTGAATAACATTCCATTTTGTGGCCTTACGACAACTTATCTGCTTACCTACTAAAGGACATTCTCGTTGCTTCTAATTGGGGGTGATTATGAATACAGCTGCTTTAAGCATTCATGTGCAGATTTCCATGCCCAGCTCACTTGGGTAAATGCCATGAAATGACAAGGAACAATGGCCAGATCCTATGGTAAGCATAGATTTAATTTTTATATTTTTTGTTATTTTTTATTCTTAAAATTAGACTATCATTTTATTTTATGTATGAACATTTTGCCTGCATGTCTGTGCACCACATGAATGCTTGGTTTCTACAGAGGTCAGAAGTTCCAGGGAGTTGGATCCCCTGGAACTCGATTTAGGGATGGTTGTTAACCTCCGTGTGAGTGCTGGTAATTGAACCCAGGGGTCTTCTGAAAGAGCAATAGGTGCTCTCAAGCACAAAACCATCTTTTTAGCAAGGGAACCAATCAAATTTACATCCAAAGTTGGTGTGCCGCCTTGCATTCCCACTGGCGATCAATGAGACGGCCAGATGCATCCTTACCACCATTAGATGCTCTTGGGGCATTAGCTGTCCTATAGGTCTAACTGGAACTTCAGGATTGTTTGATTTACAGTTCTCTAATAACATGCCTACTGCATACATATTTGCCTTCTGTATGTCTTCCTCGGCGAGGTGTCTCCTCGAATCGTTTTACCATTTTAAAATCTGAATTCTGTTCTGCGATTGTTCTTCAGGAGTCGTGAAGTTTCTAGGACTTCACTGTAAATTTTGGCGAGTTGATCAGCGGTTTGTCTTCACATTCTCTTGTCTTTCACAGAAAGGGAAAATTTAAATTTGAATGAATTCCAACTTAATAATTTCTTTCATGGATCATGTGGTGTATGTTTGAATCTGGGGTGTCAATGACAAATTAAAGGTCACCTAGATATTTCTCCCATTGTCCCAAACACCTCCCACTAAGCTTTGCCTCCCAATGTTGAACAATCATAAGTTTCAACATGGCTTTCCGTGAGGACAAACCGAATTCACGCTATAGCAGACATTAGCCCCTCTTAATGAGGTAATCCCCTTCCAAAGGGCTCACCTCCCAACACTGCCACAGTGATGGTCAAAGGTCAATATGAATTTTGGTGGGACAGACCATATTCAAATGGCTACAGGAGCCAGTCCTGTGACAGCATCTACAACGGCTAGAAGGATGCACAGCATCCTGGGAAAATGGTGGACTTCAGCAGGCAGCAAGTCCAGGGATTGAGACAACAAGGACTTTGCCATCTACCTCTTAGTTCCTTCAGGATTCTATTCCAGTGAGGCAGAGGTTACAACCTTTTCCCCACTGTTGTCCATTTCCTCTTCCCTCACTTACAGTCCTTTGCTAGGTTCCCCTCCCCCCAGCCCCCCCCGTGTCCCAGCTCTATCCTAGATCAGAACGTCAAGATTACAACCTCAAAATTCAAAATGGCTCTTGGAATTCCCTACCATGTTGGGGGAACTAAACGTCTCTTTCTAAGACTTACTTTCAAGAACAGAGAATAGTTCTCTGGATTTGTGGTTATAGACCATGTTGAGATTATATCTATATCTGTAAAATATATTTGCTGTTTATCTATATCCATCTATATTATTTCTTTATCATTTATAGCCATCTATCTCCACTTACCAATCATCTACTGTCTCTATGCATCTATCTATCTGTCTATCTATCTATCTATCTATCTATCTATCTATCTATCTATCTATCATCTATCTATCTTCTATCTATTATCTATCTATCCATCTACCTGTTATCTATCTATTCATCTATCCATCCATCTGTTCTCTATATCCATCTGTCTCTATCAATCATCTAACACCTATGTATCATCTATTAAAATAGTAGTATTCATTTCTATGTATCTCCAGACTCTAGAACCATTTCCTATTGTGGCACCTGTGTCCTCTGTCTGAGGTGCAGGTAGACAATGGTACCAAGAGAAGTTTCAACAGGCAAAGGGTCCTTCCTGTCTCACTCTTACTCTGGGGAATAATTTACAAGCATCTGTATAGTTCTACCACTTTAATATTAATTTTGGAGGCTTCTGTTAATCATATTTCATTAAGATGCAGTTTTTCTATGATAAGCTCTTTACAAGTTAGATATGTTTTATAATTCTCCATCAGTTAATCAATAGACATGCTGGAGTTTCATTCTCTGTTCCTAAGCACCCTTGGTCACGAGGTTCACACTGATGCCACTTTAGCCGAGTCAGTCACGTGGCTGGCACTTGACGCATTGGTTTTAATTGCCACTTAGAATGTCCTTAAAAAATTATGCTATGGTATGATTTCCCATTGAAATGAAAAGTCTCTGTTCCCGAATAGAGCAAGGACAGAAGTGTGACACCAGCGAAACAAATTGTCATTTTAGGGGGATGACTCTGGTTTCCTTTTATCAAACAAATCTTTGCTGAACCCCCAAAATGGAAACAACCACAAGTAGATGAAGCTGTGTCATATTTTGTCACGGAGATATGAATAAAAGAATTTATTCATTTGTGTATGAGGATGTGTGTGCGCATGAGTGCTGTGCACGTAGAGATCAGAGGTCGACTTTGGGTTCTTCAGGTGGTGTAAGCATCTCTTGTTTGAAGATGGGTCTCTCGCTGGCCTGGAGCTTGTTGGAAAGTCTAGGCTGAGGGCTGGTGAGCTCTAGGGGATCTCCTCTCTGCCTCCATGGTGCTAGGATTACACGCATGGACCACTATCCCTGACTTTTTATGTGGGTGCTGGGGATCAGCGAGGGTCCTCGTGGCTGCATGGTAAGCATCGTACCAATGGAATCATCACCTTCGCCCTTAAAACAGTTTCTTGTTGTACTCTACACCAAGCCTTGGGCAATGGAGATGAGGGAAACTGCCAAATTCTTTAGAACAGACAAAGACTCTCGCATGGAGAACGCTGAGACTGGCCGAGATACTGCACAGGGTTGCCGAGGCAGTGTGCCGTCACTTAATTAGAAGAGGTTTTACTTTTTCCCTCTTGTTAATTTCACCTCAAATAATGGTGTATCTTAAAAATCAGTTGTTCTACATTTGACAAAATACCATTGAATTCAAGCTAATTAAATAGGCACTACAATTCCAAGATCAATTAGCTCTCCGGGTATAATGATGATGAGTTGTATTTGTTTAAATTTCTGTGTTTTACCTATCTCCCTGAAGATGTCTCCCGAAAGGAGACAAACAAAGAGATAAAAAAAAAAAAAAAAACACCTCCATTTTGAGAGTAAAGTATGTGACTAAGCAGTAATACCAACAAAATGATGTGCATCCATTAACTCACAACTGCGACTTCTAGGAAAGAAAGTTTGAACAGGTGTAAATGCTGAGCTCCCAGGACACCTATTTATGTCGGCTTCATTTATAAGAACAAAAGTGAGAAACAGCCTAAGTATTTGACAGTGGGGCCGCTCCTAAATCAATGAGGTGTCCGTTGACATCACTGAATCGTAGGCAGACGTTTAAAAGGGAATCCTGTACTTTGGGAGCGGAAAGATGCCCATGGCACTCTCTGCACTGAAGGGAAGGGCACAAACTGGGCTGGCTATCGTTTTGGTAAATCAATAATCCCAATAATCACGAGGATATGCGGATGGGGGACCCACAAAGAGAATCGCAGTTTGCTCTCTTCTCTGAATGGGGAGAACGTTGGTGTTTATTTTTCTTCTAAATATTCTCATTTTGCTGCACTAAAATGTTTTGGGGGAGTTAAAAAAAATAATACGATTAAGGGTGGGAAAGCAGATTAATGTAGTCCCTGCCGCCAGAGGAATGAGAGAAAGCTGTCGGCTTAAGCTACTCTGTGAGGTATTGCTTGAGATGGCCACAGGCTCCTGCTCCGGTAATGACTTCGTTGAAAGAAAAACATCTAATCATTCCACTAATAAAAGAATTCTGGTGGCAAAGAGTTTTAGTGCAATAATCTGAGAAGACAGTAGTGGAAGTTCTGGTCTGTTTGCATTTGTGTGGGAAGTCAGGGAGGGATCTGCAGTCGGTAAATATTTGCTGCTTGGTTGAGTATTTTCGTCTTTTGTCTCTCTGTCTCTTTGCTTTCGCCATGAACGGCTTCTCCGTCTGTCAGGAGGGTGTGTGGAGTAGAATCCAGATGAGGGAAGGGAAAAACTGGGAAAGACTCTGCTAGAGACTGAATGTTTGTGTTCCTCAAAGTCCAGAGAGACCTCTGGGATGGAAAGGAAAGGTGGCTGAGTGGTGAAGAGCGCTTGCTGCTCCTTCAGACAACCTGAGTTCAATTCCCTTGCGCTTACACCAAATGGCGTATAACCATGGGGAGCTCCAGCTCCAGGGGTCCTGATGCTGTCTTCTGGCCTTCACAGGAAACCACATACACACACTTCTTAAAAATCTGTTCCTTGAAGCCCTCAGCCCCTGTGTGGCTGTGTTTGAAGGTTAGGACAGTTTGAATCGGGCCGTGCCCTACACAAATTCAGGGGTTGCACACTGTTTCTTGATCTGATGATGTTGTTTTGGGAGATCTGGAAATTTGGGGTGGTGGGAGCCTGGTTGGCAGAATTGGGTCACTGTGGCCTCTGAAATCTCCTCGGGTGTACACATTCTGCTTTTGGTACAGCCAAGCATGTGAGGAGTTGCCACCACACACTTCCTTGGCTGAGAACAGAGGCCCTCCAGCTGCAGGGCTGTCCCTGCCTTAAGGAACTGCTGTGAAACCACAAGACAAAATAATCCTGTTTTCTCTTCTTTCTCGCAGGTGTTTGGTCACAGCCGTGTGAACGTAACTAACAGCAACAGAGGCACTCCGGAGGTAACTAAGCTTAAGTGAGTCACAATGGTGGGCCTCCCGATTCCATGGCTAGTGACCTCACAACGACACAGTGGAGACTCTCTCTCCCTCACCTCTCCTCACTGTCTCTGGCCAGCACGGAGGTGACCATCTTCAACTGCAGGGAACAGTCCTCATGAAAACCCAAACTGGCCAGTACCTGGCTCTTAAATTTCCACTTTGAGAACTGTGAGAAAAGAAACACCTGTTGTGTTTAAGCCACATGGTCAGGCTTCTCTGTGGTGTGGGGCTCTCCGCCTCACGCCTGCCATACACAACAATAAGAAGCTTCTTGCATATATTGTTTGGAAGGGATAGAAAACAGGTGGACCTGGGTTAGAATTCTGTTTCTGCCTCTGCTTGACTGTGCGACCTTGGGCCAGCTCCTTCACCTCTGTGAGTCTCTACATTCTCATCTGCCCCATGGAAGTAATGGTTGCCTACTTACCAGCTTGGATGCAGTGAGAACTAAAGGAGGTAGCATTGTCCGCCATAACCTAACCACGTCATCTCCCACTGAAAAAATCCATAGCAGATGAATGGATGAAGAAAATATGGTGTGTATATACATACTTATGGGTTGGGAAAATTAATACTGTGAAAATGGCTATCTTAACAAAAGAGACATGCAGTCAATACAATCCCCATAAAAATTATAACATCATTCTTTACAGAAGCAGAAAAAAAATTTTTTAATTCATTTGGAAACACAAGACCTTGGATAGTTCAGTCTTAAGGGAAAAAAATGCTACTACACCCCGTTGGAGGTTATATTACATGGCCACAGGGTAAGCAACAGCATTGTGCCGGCGCAAAGGCAGAAGCAGAGATCAGTTAATAAGACAGAATGTCCAGATGAAAACCATGCACAGCTGCAGCCTGCTGATTTTTGATAAAGACACACACACACAAAAAAACCACACACTGGAGAAAGGGGGTTATTACCTACAAAATGCTCGAAGTGCTCAGTGCAGGTTTATTTGTCTCAATTTTACAAGAGTCACTTAAAGAGCAGTTGCTACCGCCAGGCTCTCTGTAGGATGCTGGGAGGTATCCAAGGACCAGACAGAGCCCCTGGTCTAACCAGATCAAAGTGGGTCCACCGAGAAACACACACACACACACACACACACACACACACACACACACACACACACACAGGCATTGTGGTTGTCCTATGAAGAAGAGGAGACCATTGAGTACGGGCTGGGGGAGACAGACACTAATGAAGTACACCCACTCCACTGGCCTGGGTAGAGCTTGCCCTGGCATTAAGAGGGACAAGTGAATGGAGAATCAAGGTAAGGACATATAAGCACAAAGCAGGTGAGGGTGCAGATGTCTCAAACACTGACTATGGGGTGCTGCCCTCTGCTGCCCTCAGGTCAGATGAGGAAGAGCCTTGTCTGTACACGCTGAACACTATAAACCTTCAGTTTTTCATGCTTGTCTCAGCCCCAAGAGGTGCTATATGAACTGCCATTTTTTAAAATGTTGGAACAGTCGAGTATAAAATCTAGGAAACATGAGGGAAGACATATGTTATATTGATTTGCTACTACGATTATAGTCGCAAGCATTTTCCTGCCGATGACATAACTTCGTTCAACAAATGAGCTAACAGATTATCCTCGAAAGATAAAGTACAAATGTGCAGCAAACATTTGATAAATCTTCGGCTTCATTAACCAGCAGTGGCGTGAAGATCAAAACTTCAGTGAAAGTCCATCTTACCCCAGTCAGGATGCTGGTCACTAAGAAAATAAGGAACAACAAATGTTGGTGTGGTTACAATGTGAACGAAAGGGGAGGTTAATCAGTCTAGCACTTACGGAAAAGGTATTGCAGTTTCTCAGAAAATGGACAGACCTGCCACGTGACCCACGTATATCATGCCTAGGTGTTTACCCAATGACTCCAACTCAACACAGCACAGAGACGCATTACCACCAATGCGGCCCACAGTGCTCTGCACTGTAGCTAAGTCATGGAACCAGCCTGGGCTTCCAGGAGTGGAAGGATGGATAAAGGAAATGTGACATGGATGAAATGTGCAAGAGATATGGCAGCACATACCTTTAATCCCAGCACCCAGGAGGCAGAGCCACGGGCAAGTGGATCTCTGTGAGTTCAAGGACAACACAATAAAATACTCTATTTAATCTAGCCATTTTAAAATTCACTGATCTCTAGACACCTTTCCCTCAGAAACACTCCTGACCACTGCAAAGAATGCAGATGTACAGGCAGAGCCGTAATCATACGGACTACACCAGAAATTTGAAGGACGCAGTTTAAAATACTCATATAAATGTATTTAAAAGCAGTAGGAGACCCATGCAATGCTAACATAAGACATATTTTTTTATGAAAATAGTATCTCCTCAAATCAAAATAAAAGTGAAGGAGAGCGTTGCTTTGTGTCTTTACAAGTCATTTGAATGTCAACCATAGGAGTCCTGATGGCTTCACCTTATTCTGTTGCAGGTCTCAGGTCCCAGAATCTCTGCAGAGTTCCTCTGTACAATAATGAGTATGGGAGAGAGAAAAGGGAAACAGTACCTTAGTCATGTTATGAAAGTTTGATCTTGTGGCAGGCACCCTTCGGATCTCTGGAGCTCTCTTTGAGAGCCCTGGAAGGATCTAGAAGGATGACTACCATTTGGCACTTTTCAGCCCTGAGATGAAGGGCTGGAGACATGAAGGGGCTTTCCTACAAGCAGAAGAGAATTTCTCAGATGACAGCAGCTAGTGGTGACTTAGGCTGCTGGCACAGAGTTCTTCCTGTGTCTTAGCACTTCATGGAATCTTTGACACAGTTCTTACAGCAGAACTCATTTTTACTCTTTTTTGTTTTGTTTTGTTTTTTAAACTCAGAGAGGTTGTGCCAGGTGCTGGAGACCACACAACTGATCAAAGCCGTTAACTCCGATTCAAACTCAGAGCTGTGGGCTTGAGTTCCGGCTTAATCTATCGTGTGTACGTCTGTGCCATAACACAGCGCCTGTGTTGAAAAACCTGAAGAGTAAGGGCTCCCTTAAAATGTGGGCCAGTGTCCTCAGGACCCGGAGAAGGTGGGGTGTGTTCCAAGTGCTGAAATAGAACTGGAGGGTCTTGGCTCTAGCAAAAGTCTGAGATGCGTGGGAGATGAGTCTGGGTGGACTTCCTCTAGTTTCCACGGGGGGCACTGTATCCATCATGAGAGGATTTGCCCAGTCCATCAAAATCATTTCATCAAAACTCCTTAAAGATTCAAAATGCCACTGATCAATGGATCAAGTTGGGTAAATTTGCCTGTTTTTCAGAACCTGATTTTAAGGATGATTCTCATCTAATGCTAATGACTATGAATATACTTCTTTTGAGTAAAGTCAAAGACAACAGTCCAGCAAAATGCTATTGTAATGTGTTCAGTGATAACACTCCGTGAATTTGTATTTCTTGGATACTCTTATCATGAAATTATTCAAGGTATTTTAATTATATTCAAGATTCAGTTTAAGATATTCTTCAGTCCTAAGAACACTAAACAGCCCCCTTGATATTTAGCTTCCGACAAATGGGGCTTAAAATGCTGCCAAGGAGAATGTGTTCATTGAATATGTTTAAGACGAATTTATTAAGACCGTTTTCATATTCATTAAATAGAAGAGTGTCCATCTCCAAGAACACTTTTAGCAAGTTCAGCAAATCCGTGTATTTGCTGGTCTGGCTTTGGGCCAGGTGGCTAGGTACCCTACAATTTCTGCGCCAGTCCAGGGGATGGCAGGTGCCACCTCAAGACTCTAAGTTACAGGCAGAGCCACGGAGGATGAGGAAAATGTGGTTATGTTCCCAAACGCCACTGCGAGCCTTTGGTCCGTTTCCTAAGAGAAAAAAATGCTGCAGGGAAGGAGAAGGGAGGGGTTCACACTGGCTCCAGTTTGCTGCTCAGGACCCTATATGCATTCTCTCCCATAAGCCATCCTAGGAGTTGGCTATGCATGTATCCTTTTAGGGCAGGAGAGATGGGTCAGCGGTGAAGAGCAGTTCCCAGGTTTGGTTCCCAGCATCCACATGGTGGCTTACCACCATCTGTAACCCTAGTTCTAGGGGATCTGACGCCCTCTTCTGGCCTCCATGGGCACTTGCACATTCATGGTACACACACACACACACACACACACACACACACACACACACACACACACACAGAGGCATACACATAAACATAAAATATTCTTTTAAAGTATCCCTTCCATGTGGATAATAATGAAAAGAGAAGTGAGGTGGCTTCCCTACGGTCATCTCGTCACCAAGGCCGGAACACGATTCAGCCTAAGGCGGAGTGAGATTTGAACTTAGAAGAGGATGTTTCCTCAGCTGGGAATTCGAACTCAGGTAGGGAAGGTTGTCACCGAAGGCAGAACAGGGGTTTGAACTCAAAGCCCCATCTTGGTTACTGATTTATACTTTCTCTCCTGCCCCAAATCCCTGCAAAGGTAGCCTTCCTAGACCCTTATTAGATAGCTCTGTCGGTAAAGGGCTTGCCTGGCAAGCTTTTGGGAGCTGAGTCCCAGCCCCAGAACGATGTTGAAAAGAAACAAAGCTGGGTGTGGTGACTCAGGCTCCTAAGCCCAAGTGCTAAGGAGGTGGAGACGGGTATAGTTTGCTGATCAGTCAGCCTGGCCGACTTGGTGATTTTTCAGGTCACCAAGAGACCTCTAAACAAACAAACAAATGGAGAAAAAAAAAAAAAAAAGGTAGCCGGCACTTGCCGAGATGACAATTGAGCCTGGGGCCTCCACAGGCACATGTGTTCTCTCACACACAAACAAAAGTTTATGAAAAATGAGCTGGAGTCCTGCTCGTGAGGACTGCAAGAAGGGCTTCTGAGAGCTGGAGGGGGCTTGATGTGAAGGATGCTAGGGGCTGGAGAGTGGAGATTTGGTGTGAGGAATTTTGGGAGCTGGAGGTCAGGTCCTTGAGGGGAGGGATTCTGGGAGCTAGAGGGCAGAAATTTGATGAGAGGGGTTATGAGAGCTGGCAGGTGGAGACTTGATGTGAGGGGTTCTGGGAGTTGAAGGGTAGAGACTTGAGGCAAAGAATTCTGGGAGCTGGAGGGTGGGGACTTGAGGTGAGGAATTCTGGGAGCTGGAGGGCAGGGGACTTGAGGTGAGGAATTCTGGGAGCTGGAGGCAGCTCTCAGGATTCTGCTTGGCTATCAGAGAACTTCTGATGGACAGGCCCTGTCTGCTTTCTCTGCGCTGTGTGGAAGCAAAGATCACGGACACCTGGCTGACTTCCCTGTGTGCACATTTGTCCAGTGGTCACTGGAGAGCTCTTGTAATGTCCTCTAAGATGTTAAAGGACAAAATGGAAGAACACCAGGGTAGATGTAGTAGCAGCTTCACATACCCAAAGTATTCACCTTATTCTTCCTTTGGGGGAACTTTGTTTCTGTTCTTGAAAACACACGCCACAAATGCATTGCTGATGAATTAGAAAGCATACATTAAAAACTCCCAACGAATCTACCCTTTCCCACACTGAAGTATCATCAATGCTATCCGACCTATGTCTGTTCTGGGCTTCGGTTTCTTTGTGCAGCTTTTAAATGGCATCATAAATAGCATACATACCATTTGTAAACTGATGGGATTCGCTTTCTGTGATCATAAAAGCAATCCCCCAATATGATTGGTTCATGTGTAGGGGTGTGTGTGGGGGGGATGGGTCTGTGAGTGTGCATTTCTGTGGGTGCATGTGTGGGTACCCGTATGCATGCATGTGTTCGTGCATGCATGTGGAGGCCGTGAGTCAAACTTGTGCCTTGTTCCCCTAGGATCCATGCACTTTGTTGACTGAGACAAGGTCACTCATTGGCCTGGGACTTGTCAATGAGCCCCAGGCATCCATCCACCTGTCCCCATCTATTCTTGATTATACGCAGGTGCCATTACACCCAGCTTTTTCTGTTAGTGTCTGTGAGCTATCTTCCCAGGCCCCTCCACAATTTTTATAACTGTAAATTTCTTTTTGTTGGCTATTTCCTAGTCCCAAAGAGATGAGAGAGAGAAGTGCTTCGTGGCCACCTGCCTGTAAAGCCGAGTGCATCCAAGAGGACTATGGAGTTTGGAGTATCCTGGAAGATTCTGCTGCAAAACACTTAGGGAAAACTTGGGGTAATAGTCTGCTAGTACCATGAGGCTGGTACTATGGGACCCCGCCCCCATCAAATGGCTATTTGAGGAGTTGAGTGAAATGCTCATGTTAAATGCCCATCTAGTGTCATTCTGTCCATCCACCCAGCACCTCTGTAGACTGTGGGGAGGGTTCTGCAATGCCCTCCCCCACCCCACAGGCCATGCATATTGTGGCTTCAGTTCCACCCAGACAATCTTTTATTTTTGGCAGCACACAGCGGACCTTGGCAGGGCAGTGTGACAAGACTCCTTGGAACAAAAGGACCTCGGTTCCAAGGTCTCCCTGCCCTTTGCCTCCCCAAAGGGATGGAATTTTCCATTTCATTCTCTTCAGCCTCCCACTTTGCCCCATTCACTCACCTTCCATTGCTTTTCTCCAGAGCTCACTGCAGAGATGGGGGTCTGGGAGGGGTGACTGCTCCTGCTACTAGTGTTGGTGAGAAACTTCGAACATCCTTAGGAATTGACTTCTGACCAGGGGCTGGGCCACCTCTCTCAATGTTTGCTATTTAACATTAAAGCAGAGGTGACCTCAAACTCAGAATTTTTTTCCTATGGAATGGAGATTTTCCCACAATAATTTATGTGTAAGCAGTTAGTGAGATAATGTATATTTAAAACACACCATGAACCCCTGGTGCACAGTAAGCACTCAGGACATGCTACTTGATAGGATTGTGGTTATTTCAAAAGCCACAGAGATTACCAGGACCTTGCATCAAAGCAGCCTTGGATGCCAAAGACGGTTCTGGCCTCGAGACCTTTCTACTGGCTCTCAATACCCCTTTGGGACCAGCCCTGGACAAAGTGCATGCTGGGAATATTTCCATACCCTCTCCCAGCCTGCAGACTTCCAAGCATGTCACTGGGCAGATAAATGAGCTCATCTCCTCCCACTGAAATTGGCACGTTGAGCGTAGGGCTTTGATGATGTATTTGTCAATGCCAGGATTTCCTGCTCTGGGGTGGAAGTGCCCTGACTTTCTTTATCTCATGGCCTTCTGCATCTATCCTTGCTGGGCACGTAGGATCCCAATGCCAGCCTCCAGCATGCCAGTGGGGTGGTGCAATGTTTGCCTTCCCACCTCTGTAAACACTCTCTTGGATCCTTTTTGCGTAGGAAGGTCACTGGAAAAATTAACGTGTGGGTGGCATCAGAGAAGCCACAGCTTTATGATCATGGGTCTTTGCAAGGTACCATGGGAGTCAGACATAAATACCACCTCTGCT